GAAGGTAATTAGGTCATTAGGGGCACAACACTTACATGGGATTAATGTAATTCTTATGGGATCATGATAAGAGTGAGCCATTACAAAAAGAGTGAGCCTAACCCCTGAATCCTTCTGGCTTCTTGTCTTGTCACGTAATGCTCTTACATATGCTCCCGCTATTATGCTCTCCGCCATGTTGTGATGCTGCCAACAGGCCTTACCAGAAGCTAAACAAATGGGATCATTTGATTTTGCACTTTCAATCTCCAAAACTGTGAGCTGAATAAACCTCTTTTCTCTATAAGTAAGTATGAAATTTCAGGTGTTTTGTTATTGCAACAGAAAATACAGTAATATATAACCAAACGGTTATATTTACATTTATAAACCTTTTTTCTTGATATACAAAGTGTGATATTTCACACTTTGCCTTGTAAATTTGAGGTTGATTAGTGTTATTTGTTTCTTGAATTTGCTGATGTCTATAATTCTATTATTATAAATTGTAAAGGACATTTCTTAGACCTCTAGGAAGATGGTGATAATAAACAACTTAGGTAGAGAGTCAGMAGCAAAGGAATGAATAAGTAAAAAGAGTAACCACCATTTATTTGTTAGTAGAAACTACCAGTATCTGGACTCCTTCTATGTGCCATACATAAAATTTCCTGATCCTAAAAACAACCTCAGCAAGTTATTTTTATCATCTAATAAAGATGAGGTGACTATGGTTCAGAACCATCATACAGTGTCTCAAGAATACCTCTCCAGTAACTGATAAAGACAAGACTTCAACCTATATCCACCATCTTGAACCCAAACATCCATCACTATGCTGTTCTGTCTTCTTGGAAGTGAGAAAGGAAATGATGGGAAGAGGGGAAAAAAGAGAGGATAGAAGGAGAGGGACAAATGGAGGAGGGGATGAAGGATAAAACAAAGCACATATACACAGATCAAAATATAAAGGAAGTAGCAAGAAGAAGAAGAAGAAGGAAAGGAAAACTTGAAAGTTATAAAAGTCAGCAAGGACCATAGAGCATTTGGGGCCAAAATGATCCCCTCCTCACACACAGCAGTGTATTGTGTGCGGGTGAGATATGTGGGGTTATTCTGGGCACAGGGAACAACCAGAAGGTATTCCCAGGAAGAATTTTTATTTCAAGGTAAATTCTGAGACTGTTATGCAAAGGCTTGGATTAGTTGGAAGTTGGGTGGAAAATGTTTGAAATGGGACACTGGGTGGTAGAAAGGATCTGAGCGGTGTCCTAACTAAACATCTGGGCCGTCAGATGATCATTAATGGAGACTACTCCAAGTTTGAGGACAGCAGGTAATGCGGAGCTCACAGAGCATACTTAAGCTCCTCCAGCACCATCCTGTGGCCCACTCTTCCACTCACCTTTTCCCCATAGAGGTCTCTTCCATGGGGAAGTAACTAGAATGAAGGCAAAACCTGCAATTAGATTTGGCCACTTCTTAACAGGAAAACCAATTCTAAGAACCTTGAAGGAGTACTTAAAAGCTTCTAAGTATCTTGTATCAGCATTCAAGGACACTCAGGGCTTAGTGGAAGAGATCATGATTGTAAGAGATGCAAGTTTCTTAAGGATTTAACAAGTGCAAGAAAATCAGCTGTGAGAACATTGAAGGTGTTAGGGAGACCCACACGTGGCAGTGGAGGGATGGTGGATCTGGGGCTAGATGGGTCAGACACATGATCCTAGAACTTGAAAAACAATCCTGTGATTAGAAAGGGCTTTTATGTYCTTGTCTAAGAGTAACAACACAATAAAGTCGATTCTGGAATGTGCTATTCAGCTTTTGTTCCATCAACACTCCAAACATAAGAGCATCAGAGCATGGGACATCTGGAAGACAAGACTTCCTTGTGTGACTCTGGTCTGAAGGGCCAGTGATAGAGGCTGTTCTCCCCATCCTTACAGGGGGGGACAGCCTRTAGTCAAATTCTCTCCACCCTCCCCAAAAGTCTACCTTTATTTGCATAGAGTAGATCAGGATGCTGTCTGGGTGATTTGCTTTTTTTTTTTTTTTTTGTAAGTATAGACTTTTAGAACCTTCTATATCTATATAAACTCAAGCTCTCTCTTAAACACTTTGAAAGCTGCAAGACTCCCTTAATTGGGGGTGCTATTTTTTTTTTAAAGGGAAAAATTCCAAGCGACATTCTGCTAAGAAACAAGAGGGTTAGCTCACCCAATTCAGAAAATCAAGGCTCACATCTTGAAATACTATGGATATTAAAGAAAATGAAGTGTGAACTTCTGTGGGTGGACAGAGGWGGGGTGCTGTACATTTACAAGGACCTGAGCGCTTGTTTGGATACAAAGAACAGAAAGGTTTTACGAGCCCCTCTCYATGCCTTCACTAGTAAGTGGTGACAGGCAGAGAGGTAAACTGAGTAAATCACAGGGGACAGTAGCCCCAGCCCTGAACAAGGGTCCCTCAGCAAAAGCCTTTAATGCTAATGATTATGAGGCCCATGTGCCGCTTCWCCAATTAACAGAGATTGCTTTTGTTAGAAACGAGGATATGTCACAGAAACCGTTAACAGCCGACTATTGTGGTGAGGAAGTGTTTGTGCCAGTTTCTTCAAATCTTTATTTTCCAACACAGGGTAACATGAGGCTCTTCCTAGAATACTTAGAAAACTAAGTCTTCTTGTGCTTTGCCCACCATTTCAAGCAGGACCGCTAGGACCTCTTTTCCCATTTTAAGTTTCCCACCCATGGACTCACATTTACACACACCAAATTATCATTCTTTCTCTTCACTCCTTTCTTAGATTTGCAAATCTACTGCTTTTATCTTTGATCTTAATTCCAGTCTGATACAGGTTTTCCCAGATGTGATTTCTTTAAATTGWCGGCAATTTTTTTTAATGGTTAAAAAAAAAATTCCAAATAATGATGGGTCCCTAGCTATTTTCTTTTGAGAACTTAAGTAATTTAATGGGGATGACTTTTTTTTTTTTTTAACTTTTACGGCCAGGTGGCTCTAGGGGATATTTTGTTGAACACTGATTAAAAATAATTTCTTCTAAATGAGACCTGACCACAAAATGGAACCATTAATGGGCAGGGACATTGTCACCAAAGCGGAAACCATGGCTGATTGCCTCCTGTACCTCCCACTACACAAGCATTTTCTTCTTTTTCTTCTCCTTTTCTTGTTCTTAATAGCAGAGTAAATAAGCAGCCAGCAAGGCCTAAAATGTTTTCGGCCAAAAACAGAGTCCAAACTCCTCAGAGAAAAYATTGGCCTCTGTGGTTTTGTAATATGTTCCAGAACACCGAGTTCAGTGAGGAACATTGTGAAAAACTCCCATCCATTGGAATGATGGTGGGGAATGTTACAGTATCAGAAATTTCAATTGGTCCTTTTCCTGCAGACCCATAATGAGGCTTGTAAAAAAAAAAAAAATAGTGCTATGTGGAAGTTCTCATGGGAAAAATGAATGGCAAGAAATCCTAGCTTTAAAAGAAACAGCTAATCTGCTAGTTTGATTGTTCTTCAAAACTTACGCTGAACCAATGAGCCTAATTAAAAACACTTGGCCTACTTCTATAAAGCATCATAGCTTTCTCTATGCTTCGTTTGTATACACCACAAAACTCCAGATAGACTATTATTTTTTCAAGTGCTCACTAACAAAGTGCTGACTTTGTTGGGATAGCTGAGCTAATTTCTTGAACTCAGTGTGAAACCTTAGCTAAACAAAATTGTGGTAATTTTCCTTAATTTGTAAAAGTGATTGGAGTGCAAACAAAATTTTCCTCTTGGGTCAATCCTATAATTTTCAATTAACTAAAACTAATCGTCAGGCAGGCACCAAACCTGCATTTTGTTTAAAGGGCTGGGAGGCATTTCCAAGGGTCAGGATGCATTAATTGTTTTTATAATTTTGAGAGAAAGAGACTGACTAAGATACACGTTTGGTTTTGCTTCTAGTATTAAAATAMGTGGGAAAGATGCTTTAAGGCAAATGTCAGGGCAAAATAAAATCTGTCCATTTAATTGTATGGTTATAATTAGGATGTGTTAACAGAGTTATTCCTTTACTTCTCTGGAATCTCTTTGTGTGAAAGCCTCCCCTCTGTACGTACTCTGGCCTTGAGGTCCTTCGCAAAGTAGACAAGACCTGAAACCAGCCTGTGAAGAAAGCTAGCTAGAGATGACTGATACTGAGCAGAGGGCCCCCAAACTTCGTTACTCCACATGGGATCCTTTGACCTGCAGTGTGCTCTTGTTTTCAAGCTGTAAGCAATGAGGAGTCTCAGGTTCTGCCCAGACCTACTCCAGCAGAATCCCAACTGTTAAAAAAGATCCCTGGGTGTATGGTTTGTACACTACAATATGGCAGGGAGCGGGGGGAGGGCGGGGGGAGCACTCAGACTATGCACTGGGTGCATTTCCACTTCCTGCCTTTCCAGATCCTGCCTGGTTCCCTGCATGTGATGGGAGGAAATTCATATTCACCCTGTAACCCTAGCTTCTTACCACAAGGCGGGTCCTTGTGCCAAGGCTGCTTTGGGAGTACAAAATGCAGTTGACTGGGGGAAAAGGCACCAGCCCAGAATTAAACAAGAAAACTCCTAACTGTATTTAATACAAATACTACAAGCAAGCTAGAAGAGAGTTAAAAAGCACACCCCCTACTCCATAAGCAAGCAAACCCTAGTAGTTGGCTTAACCTCCAGAGAGACCTCAGCATTGTCTAGCAACTACTCTTCCTTTTATTCCTCATGCTGTGCTTTAGATATCCAACCAGTTATTTCAACATGGACACCCAGATGAATTCTTTAATAATAATCAAAGTATCTCATCTGGTCATACATCTAGTGAAATGGGAAAAGAAAGTAGGTCTTAACGGAAACTAGATTTAAACAGACACACACACACATATACACACACACACACACTTGTGCTTATGAGAGAAAGTGAAAGACCGTACAGGCCAAGACAGCCCTGAAGTCCCCATGCACAGCAGTTCTTACCTGTGTAAATGAATCTGCCCGGTGTCCCTTTGCAGAACTGCTTGGATTTATAGGACAATGTGACTTCCACAACTCCAGGGATGTGCCTCGGAGGTGTCTGCACACGGATGGCATGAGGAGTGATCAACTAGAGGAGACATTGTGGGAAGAAGATGGTCATTGCCACATGCAAAGGACTCATGTCACGGCTTCCCTATCAGCTGTCCATAAACAAAGCTTTAAAACACATAATTAACCTGTCAATGTTTAAACACAATCTTGATGGAACTTGTATAAAAGACACTGACAACAATATTTACAAGTGCTCTGAGCACAGCCATAACAACATTATCTGGGTTTTCCTACATGGCAGGCACTGTGCTTCCTGGTTTGAAAAGGGAACCTGGCCTAATGAAATGATTTATCTACTTCAGGATATCCTTTGGAAAATCTCTGTTCGAAACAGACACTCAAATCAGAGCTCTGCCATGCCTCTCCAAAATTGATGAGACTGGTGTTTGAACTGAGCCCTTAAACATGTGGAAAACACAGAGGTAGGAAAACAGTAGGCCCAGGCACCCTGATTAGCTGCAGAGCACACATAGGAAATGCCCCTGAAGACCATTTGGTGCATTAACTACCARAGGCACAATCAAAGAGCTTTAAAGGGGAAACCAAAGAATCTGCCTCCCTGGAATAGCTTGCGGATCTGGCAGAACTAAGGACTCTCCATAAAAGGGAAATGGAAGTTTGGGGAGAGGGCTGCAGAGTGGTCACTGGTCCATTATGCAACGCCATGTCCACAACGAGAAAGTTCATTTCTGAACTCTGTTGGCAATCAGATTAGCCTATAAAGCTGAATTTATTTTTTATTACTCTTATCTCTGTTTATATAACTAAAATGTTATTAATGGCCATAAAACAGGCATTATCTGGTTCTTTGAAAAATCCAGCCCTGGTATTTGGTTGAATTTGATGGTGCTAGATTTTACTTGCTCTCTCTCTCTCTCTCTCTCTCTCTCTCTCTCTCTCTCTCTCTCGTCAGCAATTGCCCACTCCTTGACTCCTTTCAGATGCACTTAGCTCAATATTTGTGGTTCTAAGTCTGTATATAGTGGATCTTGTACAACATCTACAATGTGTCCATATTAACTTGTTTTTTGTGCTGTTCTCATAGGGACACTTTAAAGGGGCAAAACAGGCTCAGTTCAAGTGTTTGGCCAAAGAATCACATGTGACAACAAGAATAGCCAAATAGGAAAGCCCAGAATATTCTAATGGCTTCACAAAGTGACCTAACAATTTAGAAGGATGAGATTTACATCTGGTGATCTGGAACCCATGACCCCCAGGTTTCTAGGATCAATTTCACACATTTTTCCAGTGTGGTTGAACTACCAGCAACTCCTGGGTACCCCCCTCCCCTCGGTAAGCTGCCCTAATGCCAGGTCCTGGTGAAAGAATGGGAGAAAGTTGCTTTTCTTAAAGTTCACAAGTCATTTCTATCAAATACTCCTTGAAATGCAAAGAAAGGGCATCAGGATAGAAATCACTTTAACCTAGGAATTAGAAATAACTTATCCTCCTCCAAACAAAAACTAAATAAAGAAGCTATAGAAATAAAAAATGCAACTGATAGTTTAGACTTAACAGACATATRGTGTATTTCATCTATCAATAAATGAATACATTTTCTTCTCTGCAGCACATGGATCCTTCTCTAATATAGACCATGTTATATAAGCTGTCACATATGTTGGCATACAATTGTCATATTACCTTAATATGTTTTTAGCATCTGTAGGATTATTTCAATAACTTCCTTTCCATTGATACTAATTTTTATGTTCTTGATTAGAATTGTTTATTTTTTATCAAATTCTAGCTGTATTATTTCTTCTCTATTTCATATATTTCTGCTCCTACTCTTATTTTTTCCTTCCTACTACATAATTTGAAAATAATTTGATAGTTCCATCCTCTTTCTGATACAAGTACTTGGAGTTATAAATGTTCATCTGAAAAATTCACTAAGTGCAAAATATAAAAAATAAAGATAGGATGTAACAATATTAAGCCAAGTTGGATCTAGGGACAAAAGAAGTGTGCCCCTATATGAATGTTTTAATATATTTTTAATGGTTAATGTGTCTTCAGAGCATTAGAATAGTTAAAAATACCGGAGAATTGAAAATTAGGTATATTAAAAAAAATGTTCATCTGAGTACTGTTTCATTCCAGAGATCCTGATATCTTAAGCTTTTATCATCACTTAGTTCAAAGCACTTTATATTTATTTTCTTTGTGCTTTCTTCCTTGACCTCTGAGATATTTATAAATGTGCYATTTAATTTTGAAATAGTCAACATGTAGAGGTGGGATTCTCCATATTTTAATGTGATTGATTTCTAATGTAATAAATCATGCAGGAAGCACAATCTGCAAGATTTCAAATTTTTAAGAAGTGATGAAAATGCTTTTTATGTTGATTGTATTGGTTACATACATGTCAAAACTGATAAGATTGCATGTTCAAATATGTGCATTTTATTGTACTTCAGTTCTACCTCAATAAAGCTGTTGTAGGGGTGGGGGAGAAATGCCTTATCCTCTTCCATAGAGCATTTGGAGTCAGAACTTATTTGCAGAAGATACACAAAAGATACTTCCAGGAGGCCATGGCATGAGGGACTCTTGGAGACTGAATCCATTCCCACAGCACAGTGTTTCAGACAGCTAAGGATTTACCCATGAAAGCACAAGAAATGCTGTCTTAGAACTTTGTTCTTTTCTCATTGAAATTCCTCCAAAATGCATTTACACTCTCTGAAACATGCAAAGTACATGTAATTCAACTTAACCTTGATAAACCAAGATCATCATTTGGAATACCCAGTATTATATCTTGCGGTAATACAGAAAAGCTCTAAGTGCCGACTGAAGTATGAAGGGCTGCATTTGTACCCTAGGTGCTTCCCAATAGATATGACTGTGAAATTATTTCAATTTTTATTCCATTCCTTTATCTTTTTCCTCCTGGTATTCTTTAAAACTTTTAATCTGCTCTTGTAATCCATAAGTATAGAAACTAAGAAATCAAATTTAATCATGCATATAGAATAGCAGAGGAAAGAGGTTTTGAAGGATAGTAAAAGATGATCTTTCAAAATCAAGTATATGCTAATCTCAACTCTGAAGAAGGTGTCAGATCAAGTTTGGGAACTAACACTTACTCAGTCCCAATCCTAGGGACTTTACCTACAACTGTTAATTTCATCAGGATAATGGTGTATTTTAATGCCTTTTTTTTCAGATGTGAAAACAGAATTTTCAAAAGGTTAAATTGTTTACACAAGGTTATCCTGGTCATCTATAAAATGTTCCTCTAAAATAACAGGGAGGACTCACAGTGTCACTTAGTGGTACAGTGTGTTTAATGAGGCCAAAGCTTCCTTTCATTCATTCACCAAGAAGAATTGCTCATATGGAAAGTTTTTAAATGTAGTACCAAACAAGATTTTCAGACCTGGAGGCTGTGTGGATTTTTTCTACCCCTAGGCATCTCTACTTTTTTTTTTTTTTTTTTTGCCTGATCCTTTGCTATATTTTGAGGGTGAAGATCACCATGTTCCTATATTCCAACAGGTGGTACGTTTCTCTGTTCAAGAGTTACTGAGGATTCAGATTAACTTTTATTCACAATAATACTTAGAAGAACTTTCAACCAGTTAGAAAATATTTCACCTACTCTTCCTTTTCTTGAGGGAACAAGTTTTTAAGAGATGGACAGATATTAGTAAATAGATGGATGAAGATTTCTTTTTGAGGATAAGGAGTTAGTAACTATGAGCTTACACCAAGGAACAAAATTCATGGACTTTATACATTGATTAGGTGTTACGACAGTGAAACTACCGAGGGTGAGATTTTAGCATAAAGCTTTCAGCTCAGGAAATTCAAGCAAATTTCCATCTACAATTTCATTTTCAATTTTAATCAATCACCCTGTCAAGAACAGAGATGCCTTTTTGAAACAACTCCCTTTCACAGAGGAGGTCAGAATGCGAGTCCTCACTAGAAAATGAACTAGTTAATATTTTCCCCAATGTAGATGTCATTCTGGGAATGGCCCCTACYACTGACACATGATATCCACAGCTTATAAAGGAAAAGCATTTCCGCTAACTTTGATCAATTTGAACTTGTAAGCTTATTTACAAATCACTCAGAGAATCACAGAATTATATTAGCGAGCATTTAAAACGAATCCTGCGTGAACCGAGGGCAGCTACTCTATGCATCAGAGCCAAGATGAGACAGGCTCCATAAAGTTTAACTTTTCTCAACTTCCACATACCAGTTTCTCAGTTTGTCATATCTATCAACCACCTGTATAATTGTGTGTTAGTTTTTTTTAATCAAGTATCTTTTTGTTTAAAAAATTATTTTATAAGGAAACTTCAAATTTCTAGCATAACTGAAAAACTGATGTCCCCTGCTCAAATAAGGAGCTATTATACACAGTAATTTTAATGTTAATATGATGCTCAATTCTAGCTGGAAACTGTCAATGCATAATTATATTGAGAAAGGAGATTTGCTAGTATTAGATGTTAAAGACTTGTTTTGCCCCAACTGAGACTTTCTCCTTAAATATGAGTCAGAAGGATTAAAAGAGAAACCAAAGGCAGATAACTTTCTCACCATGTGATTGGGTTCTACTTCCTGTCCTTGTCAAATTCAAAACTGTCTTCTGTATTACAAAGGGCACATGCTCTGCACCTTGGAAAGTAGTCTCCTGGGCAATTAGAAGGCAGATGGGCTCTTTTGACTTCACTTTCTTAAATTACAAATAACCAAACAAACTGAGCTGGAAATAAATATTGACAAACTGTGTAGCATCAGACGCTGCTGTGGTCCATTGTGGACGCCTTCACTCTCTTTATCCTTGTGATGTCATGAGACCTAACACTCACGAAGTGGGATCATTTACACGGCACCTTAACATGCATTGTCTTTTAAAACCATTGTCAGATGAGAAAAGCCGAGGGCAGGCGTGTTAACTAATGTTATTYGAAAGGATAGGAAGAAAACCAATCTCTTTTGTTGAAATATGTCTCTCCCAGAGCTCTTCTCTTTTCATTGGTT